AGAGATAGCTGAATTCCTGTATGTTTCAATACGACATCTGTTCCGCACGTAACTTCATCGTGTGCTTTGAATTTTTCATAGACACGCATTTAGGCACTGGTGTAGTGGATGAGCTGGGTCGACTAAGAGAGACATGCAGAGTTTATCCGTTCATTTGTTCAGATTCTTTATCAGGATAGTCCATACTCCCTGCAATATGCAGTTGCATAGAAGATGCAACAATTTCAGCAAGCTTCTGACGCGATGGAGTTGTTTCAGAGTGAGGCTGCTGAAGTAGTTTGGCGCAATATATAAAGCCATAGGTAGTACAGAAGCTTACATGAAGTCTATCAGCACCTCTGGTCTGACCCATTGCCTCTTCAAACGGCACAGAGCGAGCCAGAACGGCGTGCTTTGCTGATACTGTCATCTACAGCCAAATAGAGGTACTCCACAACTGGTGATTTCTTGAAAGAGACATCGAGGAAATGCAGCTGTTACATGGCAATGTGTTCCAAGATCCTTGTAATTGAAATTTTGATCCTTGAAATTTTTTCACCGTTTTTGTAGCTGCCTTGGGGTTCTGATACATTGCGTTAATGTTCATTGCTTCTCATACTTGTTGTATTTTGTGAAGGATATCGATTCGACTATTTAAATTGAGTTGGAAAAGCGAAAGATTGTATTTTTGCACACTGTGTGTCTGGCGTCTGGTTCTCATCAGTGTATAGTTGAGTCCAAGCGCACGTGCCCCTCTGACGAGCCGGCTGTCTCTACCTGTATTAAACCTGGTCAGCATCGACATATCCCGCACTGTAGTCTTAATATTATTGAGGATAAATTCGATTTCATTCGTGACTTCATTTAGGCCTTTCCATGTTCGTTTTTATCATAGATCCCAAAGTTGTCAAAACTAAATGTGTTAAAATTTCCGTTATTGTAAACACGATATTTCTTGAGAGAAAATAGATGTCGCGCTGGAACCACAGTATCATAATCTCGGGTAGTCAAGGAAGCTGCCGATCAAGTCGACTGTGGAACAAACTTACAGTCAAGGACATGTACATTGAAATCATCAAGCAGTCATTTAAGGTCAGTCACAGGCGAGAAACCGTCAATCATACATGTCAGCTCGACCGGTATTAAAGTAATACCGTGTATGATTTACTGTAGGTCTAAAGATAGACAAAGTTTGTGCCGGTAAAATGTATGCAAGTAA